ACACCTAATGATAACGGATGCACACTACAGGATCCGCAAATACCAGCACGTCATAGAGGACCAAAAGATAAAGCTACAAAGGATGCTCACGTCAGAACATTTAGACATCGTGACAACAGCCATCGAGATATCATGCAAACGACATAGAGAACAAAGAAGAAACACCTTAAAGAAAAAACTAATCAAGATCTCTAAACCAACCATGGAAGAGAACACAAACAACTGCGTGATCAATCTGTCAAAACAACCACTAACAAATACGGAAGAACACCTGCTCCAAAAAGGATTAAACTACAATACAAGCGACGCCTCAAAGCTGGAGTTCTTCGCAGCACTAGAGTCATCACTCAAAACTTCCGGAATCAGTGAAGAAACACAACAGGAAATAAGGCAAACTATAGTACCGATAACTCAACAGGTGAAAGAAAACAACCAACTAACTCCACAAGAACAAAAGGCCTTGAAAGAACTCAGAAATAGAAAGGATATTGTCATAATACCAGCGGACAAAGGACGCACCACAGTAATCATGGACAAAGAAGAATACGTCAACAAAGCCGAAGAACTACTCGAAGATAAGAGCACATACAAACTGATGGACACAAATCCCGTCAAAAAATTAGACAACCAAATCTCAAAGACTTTAAACAAGCTAGTCAAAGCAGGAGAAATAACAAAACAAGACCAATGGAGAATGAAATCCAGTGGACCAGTACTCCCTCGATTCTACGGCAGGCCCAAAATACACAAACCGAACATTCCACTACGTCCAATAGTAGCACTCCCCGGAACGCCAACGTACAATTTGTCAAAAGAAATTTCACGAATACTGAGACATCTAGTAGATTCAGCCAAACACTCCATCAAATCCCCAACACAATTCTTGGACCAAATTAGGGACATTCAAATCAACAACGACGAACTCATGATATCCTTCGACGTAACTGCACTGTTCACCTCAATTGAACCACAGTTAGCAAAAGAAACTATATCCCTGCTACTCAACAACGACACAAATCTCACCAAATACACGACGCTTCAAATTCAAAGTCTACTGGAGCTCATCGATTTATGCCTAACAACATATTTTCAATTCAACAACAAAATCTACAAACAAACAAAAGGGACACCAATGGGATCACCAATATCAGGACTGATCGCAGAAGCAGTGATGCAAAGACTAGAAGCCACGATATTACCAGTGATCAAGCCAAAAATTTGGATTCGCTACGTAGACGACACCTTCGTCATCGTCAAAAAGGATGAACTGGAAAACACATACAAACTGATCAACAACGTTTTCAATGACATCAAGTTCACAATGGAACAGGAGTCAAACAACCAACTAGCATTTTTGGATATATTGATCACTAGAACTGATACAGGAAAACTGGAAACTCAAGTATATAGGAAACCAACCCATACAGATCAAATTCTCAACTACAACAGCAACAACCCAAGGGCTCACAAAATCAACTGCGTACACACATTGTTCAAGAGGGCGAGGACACACTGCAGCACACTGGCAGCACGAAGAAATGAAGAGAAATACCTGAAGGACATATTTCAAAAGAACGGCTACCCAATCAACTTCATCAAAAAGCACCAACGGCACACAGCATCACAACCCAAGTCAGGCACAAAAATCAGTAAAAGGATCACCCTACCGTACATACAAGGAATATCAGAAACTGCAACGAGACTGCTGAAAACCTTCGGGATAGGTGTGGCACACAAACCAACAAAATCACTACAATCAATCTTATGCAAACCAAAAGATGAAATAACAAAGGAGAACAAATCAAACATTATCTACAAAATAAACTGTACCAACTGCGACAAACACTACATCGGACAAAGCGGACGTCCCCTCCACCTACGCCTACATGAACATCAATTAGCAGTCAAACGCCATGATATTTCTTCACTTATTTCAATACACGTGGATAACTACGGACACTCATTCGATTGGGAAAATGTAGAAATCTTAGACAGAGGAAACTCCAAAAACACCAGAGAATTTCTAGAAGCCTGGCACTCAGGTCAATCAGCAATCAACAAACATATTGAAATCAATCCAATTTATCAACCAATCAGGAAAACCATGCATAAATATGGGAACAAAAATCAAACCAATGGGAGACACAACCAAAACAAAGAAGTAAACAATGATAAATTTAAGGTCAACAAGAACCAATCAACATCGAGGTGCACAGAACAAGCTGTGAAACACATATGGAGAAATTCGAACACTTCACTTCTATCTGAAGTTTGTGCTGATGATGTCGTTCAGAAGAACGATGAAAGCTCCACGACCAAACCATCCAGCTCAGAGAACAAAACTCTATCAAAATCATCCACCTGAGCTACAAATCTTCTCCACTACTCTTAGTGCTTTCACATGGCCACGCATATATAGCCACTGCCCGGGAATTCCTACTCACTGCCTTTTCGCGGCGGGGGTGTTGATTACGAAATTGAGAGGACGAAAAGCGAATATCAGGCGCATTAATCGGGTTGGTGGATGTAGAGGACCCACCTAGGGCAGTTGGGAAACCCTGATTTCAACTAATGGCACATATGGGCTCCAGAATCCTAAGGGACCAAATGGCATGTGAACCTATTGTTGGCGACAGGCTACCATACGACTGCATCTCCTGACGTTTCTTCACTCCCTTATGGATTAGACCTCTAAGTTAAATGCTCCGGATGTGGCTCCCTGAGGAAACCACATTGTTCGGTTTGGGCACCCGGACAGTATTCTAGCCTTCACACAAATGGGATGACGGAGTTTGGAGCATGCGTATTTGGTGCTTCTTTGTACCAATATTTATATGTTTAAATAATAATAATAATAAGGAAATAAAATTACTTTAAAGTTTCTTCTAATAAATCGCACGCAACTGATGCCGAATATATTTACTATTATTCTGCACAAATAATAATAAATACTAAACCCACGTATAATGAAAAGTTAACAATCGTTAAGTGAATAACATTGGAATATAACAACACATAAAAGAAAAAAACACTGTGAACTCCCACTAGAATATTGTAACTTGTTTATAAAAATGCATTCCATACGTTACGTACGATATACACGATTCGTTTTTAAAAACAAATGTTTACGTGCAGTTTTTCTAAAATTAAGAATATTAGTGAGAATTTTATTGGCTTTACTAGGGATATTAGCAGCGTATTATGAATTCCTATACTAACAATAATTATATGCACCCTAGCGACTAACTCCGAAAGGTAATTTTTAGGATTCTAGTTAGAAGTCTTGACTAGTGGGGTGCAATCGTATCAGAAATGAAGCAGCTACTCATGAATTAGAGTGTAAGACAGTTGCGCAATAATACGAATTGATTAACGTTAGAAATGTAAACGATTGTCTCGCAACTCAGTGACCTTAAAGTTAAAAACTCGCTGGGAAGCCTGGAAGTCCTAGGTTCAATCCCTAAGAGATGGTGCATGTGCACTGTTGAGAAGTCTCATAATAGAAAAAACAGCCGTTCAGTGCCTCCTTTTCCGCTTTCATTGTTTGGCTAATTAAGATAAGTTTGTTATGTAAGTTTTAAAATTCCCAAGAATGGAATAAAAACAATTTACGAATTAAATTACAGGTTAAAAAATGAAATTACATTTCAAACGCAGAGAATAAACTTAAACGTATGACTGAATGAAGTGGTGGATTAAAGTGGATCAAAGTACTAACCGTCCAACCATTAAAACGCAGATTCGAACACAGCTGCTCCGTTTATTTTAGTTTGGTAAACTGAGTAATATTACTAAATTTTGGAGAAACTTAGTGACTCGATGGTGAGTACATAGATCTGCACTTACCAAATGAGTTGAGTTATTTTATTGACTAATATAGTGCAGAATCAAACTGGTTGGATTATCAGAACTTTGAGAATTTCAACGATGAATATTTACATTCAATCAACACTCTACTGAGAAAAGAATAGCCAATTGTATCTTTCTTTGACAGTTTGTTAATACGCTAATTGACTGCAATAATAAAACATAACAGATTACTATACAGTTTCGAATACGTATCTAATAGGATAAAGAAACACAAAATCATTTAACTACAGCACAATAAATGGAGCATTATCAAAATAATTAATTTACCATATCAGTAAGCAAAAATTCAGTCTTAAAAAGTAAGAAATCATTAATGCAGAGAGGTAAAGGAAACAAGCGAGAATGATGTTGTCAATGCAAGAGACATGGAAGCATTCACCTAAAAATAAGCGCCTGTGGTAACACAAACAGATAAATTTAACCTAGAATATTAACAATGGAAAAATGCAAAACTTAACAACTAATAACACACAATAAAGATTTTCAACATAAATACAGTCAAGTTTGAATGAATGACATAATTTATATACTTCATTTCTGAATTCATTTCCCCCTCTGATCAAAAACATCATGTAGTTAAAAGTTACCATCTTTCCTATTGTCCAAACAAAGGACGCTCTGTCGAAACAGAATGTTTAGTATCAAATGTTAGCTACTGTAGTCAGATGTAGTTATTAACGAATTAATTTTCCACTAAGTGTCTCATATCACAAGTTGATGATATTGGGGCAACTTGTCTGTTATAATATGTCAGTTTATTATTATTATTATTATTATTATTAATTATTCTGAAAATTCATGTTAACGCTTTTACAATAGAGATAATAAAACAACTAGGTAAGTTTAGAATTAGTTGAGTTTAGTGTCAATAGTCTTTATACAATGCGTCTTCCTATAATGATTGAGGTTGTACTATTATGGTGGTCAATAATTAACTCCTTACCTTTTCAAATAATCTTTCAGTAAAAAAAGGCTAAAGACAAGTTCATTGTTCAGTCACAACTATCAGTAACACTGTATACCTGTTTTAAATTGAATCTACTTGTCACAAAACCTACAAAAGTCAATTACTTAGATAATCATAAAAATTTAGGACAATAAACATAATGAATGAATTACTAAACACATACTAGGATGTAATGTTGTCTTAGTGAATGGAATCGAAGCATTGATCAAAATTTGTTGTAGACGTGTAATTTCTGTTTCGTAAGGTTCAATTATTGCTCGTATATAGTCATCATCATTATCCTCCTCTTTGTTTGAACCAATGTCATGATTTGCCCAAAAAGATGAAACAGTGGATTTGTTTAAAATAAAATTATTTGTTAGTGCTTTATGACCAACACGTCGAACTAATTTCTCTACTTTATCCAATGCTTGATTAGCTAAACTTTGAGCTGACTTTTTTCAGTGATAAGAAGTGATGATTTGGAGGTTGGACAATTCTCATTTTCAGTTGGTGATGAATGTGATGTATCGTTTGAACATTGGCCATCTATAAACTGATGTAAATAACCCTATGATAAATGAAAAATAGTGAAGAAAATTAGATTTGTGGTGAGTTAAAAATGATATGGTTAGGCTAAACTATCAAGTTTAGGTTCATCTAACATTTACTGAGACAAAACATTGTAGGTGTAAATGCTTAAAGTACTTCACTTAACTATTCATATTTATGTTAACAAGACAAAATTGAGCAAATGGGACACTAGAATTTACAGAGTTACTGATAATGGCTTTTAATGGACCTATATCTGACTCCAGGTAGATCGTTTGCTGCTTGTTACCGAAATATACATGTCGCCAATCCTCGTATATAACCATCGACTTAAATTACGTTAAGGAATAACGGAATTAAATAAGCCAAATACGAGAATGAAGTTTTGAATACGTATATTTTGTACAATGGTTGATCAGAACAGTCAGAGAGACGGAGCGAAAGCAAAGAGAAAAGAGAGAAGCGAAACGACGCACGATGAAGAAGGTATGTAAGCGAGCTCGTCTTAATCATGTGTGACTCGATATTTATAGTCAGACAAAATAAGTTACAGATATGTGATGAGTAAGATAAGAAATGCACACACATACGTTCATATAAAAAAACAGGGTTAATAAGAGAATAAGTGACAGGGTAAAAATATGGTTTGAGAAGAATGAATAGATTGATATGTCCAGAGACTAGAATAACCTATATGTGCTTTACATAGTACCAGCCCCTACAGGCTAAAAAATGAATCATTCCTATTCATATATCTATAACTACAGAGAATCGTTCAAGTTAAATCTGGATGGGGTAATATCCAACAGAATCCTAATACACACTAACTAATAAAAAGAAAATATTTGTAATATAAAAATCACAGAAAATATTTATCATGCTTACTGGTCAAGGTTTACAATAATGTCAGTGTACATGCACATAAAATAAAACCAATAAATTATTAATAATCAATGAAAGTACTATGAAAGAAAGGAGAGTAAAACAAATCACATGCTTATTGTGCCTTGCAACATCTGATAAGCCATACTTTAGATGCTAGAGAAATATAGTATTTCTGGAAATTGAATTATCTCATCCAGTGTCAAATTTTAATCAAAGAGTACCTTGAAGTATAGCTTAATCACTGAGTTACAACATTTAATTAAATGACAAATAATTCAGATTGTAATGCATTTAAAAATCTGTGTAGTTTGAATACCAACTTTCAGTTTATTTTGATTCAATTCACTCAATTTATTAGTATCGATAGTATAATTTATTAAAACACAATTAATTGATTTTGAAAAGAAATCACTTTTGACCAGTGTATATTGAAGTTTTAAGCACTTGATCCATAAAATGACCTAACTATAGTTTCCGTTATGAACACACCAATATTACTTCAGGTGATAGTTAAACTATTATGAGTTGCGTTAAAAAAACTCCAACTATAGTGGCTGAGAGATATTTGACCGATTGTAAAAGGACCACTACACTGAGTGACAGTTCTCAGAATAGCTATGAGACAGCCAATAAAGTTTAAAGGCATGCTTAACTAGTAGGTATTCGGTTACTGACGGCTTTGTAAAATTGATTAAATATGGTTGAAACATTGGGGTGGCTGCATTAAAAATAACGCCTACATACATTACCATTATCACTATACACTTGATGGGTCAAGAATAGTTTGTAAAAGGACTAAGCATGGATGAGTTAAGACATGACATTAGTCTATGCAGGTATCCGAAGCCATCGGATGTTAACAGATGACAATGTAACATAAGTATCCTTTAATTATATCGCTCTATATTCTAAAGTGTAATTTTTCCAACAATTTTTAGCAATTGGAAATAATCCTTAGTTTGGGAGTCACTAGGAGGACGTACGTGAGATGTGATAAAGCTACCGAGGACAGAGTTCTAGGGTCACAAAAACATTAGGATGATTCCCCTTAATGTGACTAAACACATGTTTCTAGGTCTCACGATGACTTACATAGTGAAAGTCAACTTTCAGGGACAACGATAACTGGCTAGGTTCATCAAGGATAGAATTCATCTGACCATCATATAGTTGGAATTACCGTATAGTAGAACTGTCCGCCTGAAACTTTATAACCAAACAAGTTTCTTTCTACACCACTACTACTACATAATTCCCCCAAAGCTGTCTCTAGAATCCTGTCGACGGGAAAATTCAAGACGGAGTCTAAAACTAAGTAACCCTATGTAATTTCAGTGTTGTACTTGAACAATGGGGAAAGGTGGTTGTATACTCTCACTCCTGTGAAACGAGTGATGAACATTTAAATAAACTCAAACAAAACACTATTCAACAGATAATCTCAGAGTAAAATCCCATCCAAGGAATTAGGTGCCACATTGATATCATAAAGTACAATGATTATTGGCCTAAAATATGTACGAATGTTCAAGCATTTGGTTGAAGGGGGGAAAAAGATTATCCAATGCCTGACCTGCGCCTCGATAGTAAGTTTGTTATGTTTTTGCACGATCTGCACAGTACGATGAACCAGAAAGTAGCGAAATTGTATCCAGATGGTTATAAATATTGCATACATTTCATAGGCTGTTTCTGAGAGTGTATATAACAACCATTTTGATAAGTGATTGAACATATAGTTTCGCATAACTTTTGCCTGAAAACAATTACTCTTCTTGCACTTCATCAATACATTTTCTTCAGACCACAAAATATCGGTTGTTCAAAAACTAACAGTTCAAAACCATTTAACAGACCGATGTATTATACAATGAAGAGAGCAAGAATAAAGATTTGGGAAAAACAATATGAATTTATTGTGCTTAGTCAGCTGCTTACAACCTATGATATCTTAGAATTATCGTGAAAGTTGACATACTTACTACAGTGAAATCGGTTAGGTGTGAACATGTATCATTATGATGGAATGAGGATTCAAATAAAGGTATAAATTACTTGATTGTGTAATTATTTCTGTGTTCTAGAATCTTCTCTAAATTACTGTATTATTTGCAGCACTGCATATTTTCCTAATCTTATTACCTTTATTCTAACCGTAACTTCACCATGCCGGTTCATTATTATCAGTGTGTAAACTATGTTAATGTTGATTTAAAATATTATAGTTTGTAAGTAGCCCACTAAATAAAATGAATTCATGTTATTCGGCTCAAATCTTTATTCTTGCTTTCTTCAAGATTAAAAGGCGAACTCTATGTATGATTTTATAAATGGGTTTTTTAATCAAATCACACTACTCGTGTTGATTGGATGAAATAAAATTAATGCATATCACAAGAAGTTTACTACAGGATGTATATAAGTAAACAATGTTAACAGATGATTCCATGCTGACAAATTAGCACAGAGTCACGCACAATTCTCTAACTAAAAATTTACCTGTTCAGAAGCTATCAGCAGCGAGGACAACTCTTCATCGTACTGTCTTTTCAAGGTTAATAAGGCATCCTCATGTTCAGTCATCAACATTTCTGCGGCGCTTTTAATATTTGCCAATTCAAGTTCAAGTTTGACTAACTGTTTCCGTGACTCTACGGCCTCATTCTGTGCATCTTTACAGGCTGACTGAGATTCTAATAGTTCCGATTCTCTGTCTAACAAGACAGATTCTAAACAACGTTTAAGTTCTTCATCGGTTAACTGGTCTAAAATATTTGAAATAAACGGAGGTAAAGAAGGTTTGATGATGCCATCGGTTGTATTGCTAGGAAAATTTTCACATACAGGTGTTTTTTCGTGATTCGAATTATGCGATAACATAATTGTTAACTCCACAAAATAAACCAGTATTATTCCACAGATCAATTGAAAACAGTTTCTTGCATTACGAATTTATGGAAAGTGTTATTTGTGTTACTTTTGATAGAGAACTCTAAAAACAGAATGAAGTTTGAAATTTCATTGAAATATTATTTTAAGTTTTAAGAAGAGATAATACAATAATGACAACATGGATTTGAACATCTCATACGTTGTATAAACGTAATAAGTAAAATAGACTGTAAAATAACTGTTGCGATTTGCCTGAATGACTTAATTTTTAACGATATTTCATAATATATTGTTGTATGAATTCGATAAATACTGATCACATATTACCTGTTAATCGACAAACAATACAACCAGAAAAAAATAATTCAAATCGTTTAAACTCTGACCTGAGAGTTAGGTCTTCATTTCAAAGAGTTATGACACTTCATGGTGAAAGCCGAGTTCATTCGGAAGTCACGAGGCCGGTGCTACTTCCAACAACCAGTGCAACACTTTGTATTGGTACATGGGACGTCCAGATAATGTGAGTGACCGGGGAGACTAGACAAACAGCAACGAAATTAGGAGATACAAATTGGTAGTACTGGGAATCGGTGAAACCCACTGAACACAAGCTGGACAGCAACGGCTAGATACGGAGAGATGCTGCTATATTCCGATCATGATGAGGAAATGCTCCATACACTAAGGGAGTTGCTCTAATGCTGTCCAAAGAAGCACGAAATGCACCTGTAGGATGGGAATCTCATGGATCCAGAATCATCAAAGCATCATTCAAAACAAAGAAGGAGGGGAGCATAATGAATGTTATCCAATGATATGCATACACCAATGATAGCAACGACAACAATAAAGATCAATTCTATGAGCAGCTGCAATCAATCATGGCGAAGTGCCCAATAAAGTACCTCACCATTCTGATAGGAGATCTAAACGCCAAAGTCGGAATAGACAACACCGAATATGAAGATAACATGGGACGACATGGACTGAGAGAGAGAAACGAGAATGGTGACAGATTTGCAAATCTATGTGCATTCAACAAAGTGGTCATAGGCGGCACAATATTCTCACACAAACGTATACACAAAGCTACATGGATCTCACTGGACCACATCACAGAGAACCAGATAGATCATATTTGCATCAGTACAAAATTCACAATGAAAAACGTGAAAACCAGGAGAGAAGCTGACATAGCTTCAGATCATCATCGCATTGTGGCCATGATGAAACTGAAGCTAAAGAAACACTGGACATCTGGGGGAACAGCATTACAAAGGTTCAATAAAGCCTTCCTACGGGATACTAACAAACTCAATGAATTCAAAATAATTCTCAACAACAGGTTCCAAGCCTTACAAGATCTACTGAAGGAAGAGGAAACTACTATGGAGGACAACTGGAAAGGTATCATAGAAGCATTAACTTCAACATATCAGGAGATTCTGGGCCGCAACAAGCATCATCATAAGGAATGGATCTCTGTGGAGACACTGGACAAGATTGAAGCAAGGAAGAACAAGAAGACAGCAATTAGCAACAGCCAAATTACAACGCAGAAAATCAAGCCACAGGCTGAATACACAGAAGCAAACAAACAAGTGGAGAAGAGAATTAATGCCGACAATCAGAAATACGTGGAAAAACTAGCAACGACGGCGGAAAAAGCTGCAAGAGAAGGAAATATGAGACAGCTATATGATAGAACGAAGAAACTAGCAGGGAAATATAGTAAACCAGAGAGATCGGTCGAGGACAAAGAAGGCAGGCCAGTCGCTGAAATTCAAGAACAGAGGAGCAGATGGGTAGAGTGCTTTGAGGAACTCTTAAATGTACGGGCTCCAGTTAATCCAACGGACATTGAAGCAGCAACCATAGACCTCCCAAAAGATGTCATTCTGTGGTGCGTGCTACTTATATTGATATAAGTAGTATATAACGTGAGTCAAAAGAACGTAACGTCTGGCAGCAGAAGATGGAGAAGATCAAGAAAAGAAGAGCGAGAAAACAATGGAATTTGTAAGAAATCGCATGAACAATGAAATGCGAGACAATGGATTGAGGTTTGCAAAAGCAACAGTCCGGTTTGATATGATAGAATAATAGTTTGCAAATTAACGATTTACTATATGGTTTTTCTATTTTACCAAGTAATTCTGTAATTTGTCCTAAATACAATTTGGTTGTCCTCACCCGTGTTCTCCTTCACTACAATTCCACCAACGACCGAAGAAATTAGGATGGCAATCAGACAAATCAAGAGCGGGAAAGCAGCAGGACTCGACAATGTACCAGCCGAAACACCGAAGTCAGACATTGAAGTAACTACAAACATGCTTCACCTTCTATTCAAGAAGATTTGGGAGGAGAAACAAGTGCCGACGGGCTGGAAAGAAGGACACCTCATCAAGATCCCAAAGAAAGGCGATCTGAGCAAATGTGAAAACTACAGAGGCATCACGCTACTGTCAGTACCAGGGAAAGTCTTCAACAGTGTTGCTGAACCGGATAAAAGACGCAGTAGACGCCCAACTTCGAGATCAACAGGATGGATTCCGTAAGGATAGATCATGTACAGACCAAATCGCAACACTACAGATCATCTTTGAACAATCAGTTAAATGGAACTCATCACTATACATCAATTTCCTTGATTATGAAAAAGCATTTGACAGTATGAATAGGAGAATGTTATGAAACCTTGACGCTACGGTGTACTTGAGAAAATCGTTCACATTATCCGTAATTCATGCCATGGACTACACTGCAAAGTCGTGCATAGAGGACAGCTGAGAGATGCATTCCAAGTAATGACCGGTGTCAGACAAGGCTGTCTACACTCCACCTTCCTCTTCCTTCTGTTGGTTGTCTGGACTGTGAAGACCTATGTTTCTCAGAGGAAGCACGGGATACAGTAAACAGCCTGGATGCACCTAGACGACTTAGACTTCACAGATGACCTAGCTCTCCTGTTCCATACACATCAACAAATGCAGGTCAAAACAGTCAGTGTAGCATCAGTGGATCTCGACACACACAAGGAAAAACCAAGATCCTCAAATATAACATAGAGAACACCAACTCAATCACACTCGATGGAGATCTGGAAGAGTTGGGAACTTTCACATATCTAGGAAGCACCATCGACGAAAAATGAGGATCCAATGAGGATGCAAAGGCAAGGGTAGAAATCCTATAACTGAAGAACATACAGAACCCAGATCAATTATCACGCAACATCAAAGTCAGAATCTTCAAAATGAACATTAAGACGATTCCACTGTACGGAAATGAAAAGAACCACCACAAGCATCATCAGAAAGGTACAGGTATTTATAAACAGCTGTCTATAAAACATACTACACATCCAGTGACCAGAGGTGGTTTGGACACAGTTTACGCAAATCGGGTTGCAACTTCACTTATTTAGGAAGTCTGGTCAGTCCTAATGGGTTGGTGTCTAACGAAATCTCAGTCAGTCAGCTACAACGTAGGACCAGGCACATATATGCATCGGTCCAAGTTGCCATACCTCATTAGCACAACAAGATGAACACCGGATTTATAAAAGTAGTTAATTCAGAGGTGGTAATATATAAAAGATTGCAATAAGGAAGAAAGAATTAGTTCGTAGAAAGATATGGAGCGATTTTAATCTCTTAGTTTAAGGGAAGGCAAAGAGTGTATACACCGACGCCATTGTGATCGATTCTCAGCCATGTCACCAAGAGTCTCCAACTGTTGGTTACGAAAGTCACGCGGACCACAACCAAGTAGTCTGCATCTAACAACATGGCTCAGACTAGAAGTTAGTGACTTCAAGCACTGATGCCACGTTTTGGTTTGGCCGCCCCTAATTCTCTTCCAACCATCCCCAACACTAGTCAGCATTGCCCGTCGTGGTAACCGATGTTTAGGCATACGCAACACACGGCCCAACCATCTCAGTCGATGAAGATTCACAACCTTATCAACTGATTTACCATCATTCCCTAATACCCTGCGTCTAAACTCACTATTACTTACCCGGTGATCCCAGAAGACGCCAGCAATATTTCTAAGGCATCTGTGGTCAAATACTAGTAGCTTACGAGTGTCTTGTACTCTTAATGGCCATGTTTCGCTGCCGTAAATTAAAACAGAACGGACTGCCGCTCAGTGTACTCTTCCTTTTATTGATAGACGGATATCTCGCCTTCACCATAGGTGACGTAAGTTGGCAAAAGCCAAGCGAACTATTCGAATCTGTCTGTATAAACGGTAGGTTGATAACATCATAATCATAGGAGATAAACGTGAAGATGTGAACCGCTTACCAACCTCAAGAACCTCAAGCCAAAAGCATATTTCACTTACATGCGAAGAGAAGAATAACCAAACTTCTTTTTCTAGACATACTGATTAGTAGCAGAGATGATAGTTCTATAAAATGTTCTGTATATTGAAAGCCGACATGGACCTGGCAATATCTTAATTTACATAGTCACTGCCCAATTAATTACAAACGCGGATTAATAAAGGGCTTATTCGACAGAATCAATCACATTTGTACTAGCGATACTATTGAAGTAGAGACGAAGCTCTTAACTGAAATATTAATGAATAATGGTTATTCATTGAACCTTATAAACCACTGGGAGGGTTGCAATATGATTAGACCTATGACGCATCCGGCACCCAAAAGCGAGTTTACATTATGTTACTATTTAGAAGCGACTCATATAGTTTCATGCTGAAACGGAGACTTAAATTAGCCGTCAACCGGACATTTTATGCAACCCAACTTGTTATTATTGAAAAGACAAGGTCTACGTTTCACCAAAAACCCAAACAACACATAAGCGATTGTGTCGCATTCACTGTCTAACAGTGCGGAATACGTACATAGGGAGAAGTAATCGTGATCTGCAAATAAAGGTGGCGAAACACATACCCAAATGGCTGAAGAAACAAATGAATTCCAGTGGTCAAATAAGGTCATGGGA